TCAGCCTCAGGGCCTCAGCAATTTCGTGTTGCCAATCTCCCATATTTTAAAGCCGTCACTATCCAAATTAACAATATCGACTCGCAACAATTTTGGGACTAATCTATTGCCAAATGTTAAAAAAATACCAAGTCGTAAAGTTCTATTTACCGACAAGAAGTATACATGAAACTTTGCTAGTCACTCACAAAATGTGCACAAATTTGTCACCTTTGCGATCTTATATTGATAGCGTAACAAGGTTTTCTTTAAAGGGTAAAAAGTAGGGCGAGATGCCTACCGATAGATTCAAGAACTATAACAGTAGTGTATACTGTCAATAGTCTAATAATTTAGAACCTTTAATTTCCTATAACTAGTGTGCGGCCCGTGCAAAGCACGGTCTTCCCTTTTTTTTATTGCTACAATAATCTCTTTTTTTATTGTTGCAGCATTTTTTAAAGTGTCACAATAATATTTTTTTAAATGCTACAATAATAGTTCTTTGCAAAAGCTATAGTAAATTACTATAACATTTACTGTAGCATGAATAGTAATTCTTGGGTCCTCCCGTTATTATAAAGGAATAAATACGCGTAAAGAAGAATCCTTCTCCAAACAAAGAGATCCATGAGAACGAGGAGGGGATCAACTCATCACTCACTCAACAATATGTATTTTCTAACTCGTAAACTAGCTCTTCAACATAATAGTATGAAAATCAGGTTCTAAGCATTATAGAAAACCAAATGAGAGAAAGAAAAACACGCGGAGTAATAGCATCTAAACAATATCTAAGATGCTGAAAATAATAACAAGAGAAATTAAAAATGCTCGAAAAAAAAATCCTAACTATACAAAGCTAATTTGGTTGGAGTTAACACAGAATACGCAATGGAATAGATAAAAAAAAGCGAAAAATTAATAACCAACCAAGGACACACAAGATTTTATAATGATTAATATAACGATTCGAGTAACACCTAACCCTAGCTAGACCCAAACCCCAATTAACACCGACTTGAGTACGCCGTAAAAAATAAGTTTGAAACAAACCAACAAACACAATTTAAGTAGCGAAAATAAGAAAGATATTACAACTATTTTTTATCAATAAAACGTTCCTCAATGGGTCAAAGTGTAGCTTAATAAAACACTGTAGATGGTGAAATTAAGGGCAACTCTTCCGCTGAGATAAAGCAAAGATGTTTGGTGTGACGAGAAAAAGCTTGTTGAGGCTTCGGCGGTCAAAACCTTCAATCTAACATCTTCTCTAATCAAAATCCTAAAGCTCTTATGAAAACCCTAGAGCTCTCTCCTCTATTTATCTCTTTCAAAACATGTATAACATTTAATCAAATAGGAAAGAAATATCCTAAACACAGTAGAAGTTGAAAGTCAAAAGTAATAATGGACGACTATGATTAAATCCTCAAATCTGTAATCAGCTGACTTAACCATCAGCGGTTGCTCAAAACCATTAATGGTCCCTGAGCACTACCGATGAGTTCCTGTAAACCACCAAGTAGCTAAATTCCTATCTTTGGAATTCTACAATTTTTCCTTTAGATCATTGATGATCTCATACTCATCGATGGCCCCCTGACAATCATCAATGGTACTAAGGCTGAAATTAGCATTTGTACTGATTTTCGTGTCGTTTTGCCTTGTACATGTTTTATACTTGTATTTACCTATATTATATGATCTCAAACAAATATTAATACTAAATGAGAGTTTGTTATTACTCAAATAAGAGCTATTATGTGGACTACGTTCTAACAATCTCCCTCTTTTAATAGTAACAAACTTGAAATTTGAAATACTTAAATATATGCATATTTGAGATATATAAACATCAACAATAAGCACAAATACACTATCATGCAAAAAAAAAAAAAGATTTGCAATGCTCCCCCTACATTCATGCATTCATGAAAAGTGTAATTAAGCACATATATTGTAAAAATTCTCCTAAAATAATGCATCGAGGGTTTCAAAAATTTTCAAAAAAGAAAAAAGAAAAAAAACATCATAAAACCACTTAGACAAAAAATCCACTCATGCAAAGATCGTCAAATTTTCAAATTTCACACCAAAATTCTACCCATTTTGTTATTAGCAAAAGATGAAAACACAACAATGGTTACACTTCATACTTGAGAAATTCAGATGAAAATCATCCAAAGGTGTAAGGAAGAGAATTATACACCGGTTCAAACAAAAATTTATATAAAATAGCACAATGGATTAAAATCTAATCACAAAACACTTGAATCACATTAAAAATCACACACAAAATAATTAAATATCATTGTAAAGTATATGAAACCCATAGTAAAAAGGAATTATACTAGTTCATTGGAAAAATTCAGATACATCAAAAAGAATAATGAGCAATAATAAGACTTGCTAACCTTAGAAACTAAAGACCAAAATGTCGTCCTATCACCTCAACCGTATAGGAATTATGAGGAAGAATGGTAGTGTTTGGCAAGTGATTCACACAATTTCTAAATATAAAAATATTCAGTACAGGTACCCTTTGAGATTTGCACAAACATAATCCAAGAGTGTGGGGTTTTGACCATTTTTAATTTAACAAATACACTTAATTTTTCATGAATTTCGTAAGAATGTGGATATTTGATCATCTTTTAATGAATACACTCCTTTGTTTGATATATTTTTAGCATAAATGCACACCTGTACACATCAAATCTAATACTATTCTACATCTAAAAGTCTGAAGGGCGTTAAAACTTTTTTCCCCCCAAATATGTTCTCAAAATTTCATGTATAATCACCAAAGTATCCTCAGTATTATGACTATGCAATAATATTGTTTAATTTAAACAATATTAGTTAATGAAAATTTATCATCATTTAGAGTTTTAGAATCTTAATACTCTGTAACCGATATTACTAAATATATAGAGATTATAGAAACAATTAACTAATTAGCAATCTTTTATTTTCCCTCTTCATAGTCACTCTTTCATCACTATATCATAAATTTACACTATTATCTTCAGTTTACCTTATCAACAACTAATGGCCCGTTTGGTTGGACAATTTTAACATGGAAAGCCACCGTAGATCTGCCAAAAATATCCCAAAAGCTGACACTTTTAGCAGCTTTACAACAAAATCACCTCTTTAAGAGGCGATTTTGCTGTAGAGCTGCCAAAAGTGTCAGCTCGGCAGCTCTACAGTGGCTTTCCCCCTTCATTTCACCCAACCAAACGGACCCTAAGCCTAGTACCTAAAATTACATAGTCAAATCTATATCTATGACCTGGCCCATCTTGTATGTTCATAGGCACTTGAGTGGGCTATGCTAAGGGTTAGGCCGGGGAACAAGCGAATAAACCTGGCCCACTTGCCTTATTGTGGGTTGTTGGACATCCTATCCAGCACGTGAAGTCACACGAGTTGGCTCGCACGACATGCCAACTCATCCCGTTGCTCACCCCTAAGCGAGAGATAATAACTTATGGACAGAGAATTTATGATAAAAATTTAATTAAAAGGAGCTAGTATTTAAGGAAGTTAATAGTACTAATCAATTACCTCCAAAATTTCAATTAAATTTGCATATTTTGGCAAAAAAATAAATGATGAAAGATAAAAATAAGGATAAAATTAGCTTCTAGGGATTTTATTTATGAGTCTACACTACAAAAAGTTCATAGTACAATTTCAACAGTATGATGCATTAATCATAGTGGACCAATAATGCTTAAACAAGTTACCTAGGGATGATGAAAAATAAAAATACGGATAAAATTAGCTTCTAGGGATTTTATTTATGACTCTACACTACAAAAATGCATGAAAATTCATAATACTATTCAATTGTGTGATGAATTAATTTTACTGGACCAATAATGCAGGAGCAACTTACCTAGGAAGATTCCTTCAAAAAAAATTAAAAAAATTACCTAGGAGTAAAGCTCATTACACAAACAGAACACATGGAGTGTGTGTGGAAGCTATGATGTTTCCTTCAATTTTTATTGTATTTTTATCAGAATAAAAATACAACGCATTTGGAAATCA